CTCAGTTTTTTAAGGGAAGTGTAAACGGGGCTTAAGTCTAACTGCCTGTCATTTAATTGCTAGAACTAGTCATGTTTTTTCTTTTAATGCATTTAATATCCCCCATGCTCCATACACATCTACAATTTAACCCCTCAAATTTTTTTTATTCCCTGTATGTAGCTGGCATTACTAAAATTATTTTCTGGCGGGTTATTTATTTTAAATTTTTTGGTTCCGAACCTAATAGTTTTGGAGACCCTGCAGACGCATTAGGAAGGCTGTCAGCTGGATCAATGCTGCAGTCCCCGCTCCATCTGACATCCCCCCGCGGCCGCAGATTCAAGCTGTCTCCCTCTAAACAGTGTTTCATTATCTTTTGGATGCACAAACAACTTAAAAGACCCACAAACATAATTTTAAAGACAGAAACACATAACATTAAAAACGGACAAACAACATTAGATCTATTTATAAATTTTTAATAATAACATCGTATCTACTTTGCGCATGTATTATATCAACACCTCGCCATTTGGACCTCATTTATTTAGTTATTTATTTATTTATTCATGTATTTATTTATCTATTTATTTATTTATTTATCTATTTTTTTATTTATCTATTTTTGCACTAGTGCTTGTTTCACATAACATTTCTCCATTGATCTACTTCCACACACCATCTATTTCATACTTTTCCTTCCACTTCTACAAGGATTTTAAATTAGTTGGATCAATCTGACACAAACTATCCATACCCCTTATGATCTTCTCTATACTCTTCCCTGGACCTATCCTTTTTAATTCTTTTACCTCCCTGGCTCTCTTTAGTTATTTTATTCTTTAGTTCTTACTATTTTGTTATTTTGGAATAGAGGCATCCCTCAAACCCATATTTTGTTTTTAACCATGTATTCAAGTGTTTATTTTTTGTCTAATCGTAGCCTTTAAATTATCTCTAAATTTATTTTGACCTTTACCCATTTTAAAGAATTTAGTCCAGTGCAAACATCTAGGGTATTCTACGCACTGGATGTTTATTCAGCAGGACAGTACCCAAAAACTGTTGTGGTAATTTCTGCTTCTACCTTTTCAGGTGAGAAATTCTTGCCTCTGCATTCCACAAGAGCTGTACTATATTAATTGTTTTCTCACATACTCTCACACAGTCACACCTATTTTAAGGCCTATTATATATTTTTTATTTTAACCAAAATAGACACCTATCATTACGTGTACACTTTGGAGTCTCAAACTCCAGGCCCTCGCACGCACCGGATACCCAGATGCCACATCTGTCAACAAAACCTGGTTTCATCAAATATCCCTGCTGCGGCAGCTGCAAACCTTACTATCTCGAGAACAACACAGAGTCCCAAACTCTAACGCACAGAATAGACAGATGCCACATCCGTCAACAAGACTTGGTCTTGTCAAATATTCTTGTGATTACAGCTCTAACTTAAATGGTCCCAGACCAACTTTTGATCAAAATCTTTAGGCCTACCCTTTGTCGTTTAGACCAGTCCTCAGTGGAGTCATCACCAGGATGCCCAGGGCAGGGCTGGACCAAACTGGCCCCGTCGGGCGAAGGGAGGATGGCTGTCGACAGATTCTTGGCCTTGGTCCCACACGGTCCTGGACAATTGGATCTTGACTCCCGGGTTTCGGCACCAAAATGTTAGGTTAAAAAAATGTAGGTTCATAAAAGAGAAAATTAGTCCACACAGAAGAGGGATTTTTTAACAGCTTCTGCAGAAGGAGAGAGCTACATTCAGCTACATCTACTCCCTGACTGACTTCCTCTGCAAAGCCTTTTTATTAGCAGATCATAACACATGGGGTGGGTTACAAAATAGAGTGTTCTTCTGACAAGGCAATTGATCAGGTCATAGGACAAAATGCTCCTCTGATTGAATCACAGAATAGTGTGGTCTCCTGATAACTGTGATTAGCCTTGCACAAACATCAGCAATTTTCTACCACCGTTGCATGACAGTTTGCAGTAAACAGAGTGAAGCATCTCATTTCTCCTATGTTCCATATGCACACACATTAACTTTATAATCATCATTGAATAAACCTAACAATTCATTATCAGTCCATCTATCCATCAACATTTGCCTTGTGCTTGATTGAAAAAAAAATTACTTCAAAAAGCTGTTGGCCCACACCTTAATTCACTATTTAGAGGAAATAAACTCACACTAAAGGCAATAAATTGCGTGTTTGAACAATTCCTTTGTTTACCATATTGTGAATATTTATTTACCTAAATTTATATATAGTAATTCATTTAAAAGGAATGCAAAAAAACAAAAACAACTAAGAAGCAATAATTGCCACTCTGACACCAATGTGATTGACCAGAGACGTGTAACAGATGGCTGAACACTGTTTGCTCAATGACTGACATTTTACATTTTCTAAACTATCTAAGAAGTTTTACTTTGATAAAATGAGCAAGACAACATTTTTCTGCACTTTAATAGGTCATCCCAATGGTCTATATTTCTAGTATATTTACTAATTATACCAGGATTACAGAACACGTACAATTACAGTTTTTTGTCTGATTTGCAGAGACTCTTTCTATCTTTGCTTGCTGAACAGTGGGACCAGCATAATGTCGGGATTTGCCATTTTCTCCATTCTGGGCTACATGTCAGTAAAGCAGGGAGTTGACATTTCTGCTGTTGCTGAGTCAGGTATGCTTCAGACCAGCTTTGATTACAGTTTGATCGAATAAAGAGCAGTTACATATTTTGAGGTTATTATAACTGCAGCACATTGGAAATGTTCTGAGTAAACTGTTTTTATCATTTCTAATAACAAGCATTTTATGTAACAGGATTTGAAGAGAGATCTTTTTTTTGCAGGTCCTGGACTCGTCTTCATTGTCTACCCACAAGCCGTAACTCTGCTGCCTTGGCCTCAGTTCTGGTCTGTGTGTTTCTTCTTCATGATCATTTTACTGGGAATCGATGGACAGGTAAGCATAATTCTTTATTTCATGATCACTTTACAATTTGTTCGAAAGTTGACATTGCTGTCTCTTTACCAGCCTCCAACAATGTTGCTTTCAGTTTGCAGGACTTGAAAGCAACGTAACCTCTTTGACAGATCTCTATCCTTCCTACCTCCGAAGGGGATACCGCAGAGAGCTTCTTCTGATGCTGCTCTGTGTTATTAGTGCTTTGCTGGGCTTATTTATGGTCACAGAGGTGAGTTGTTGGACTCATTTATAAAGTATATAAATAAAAGACAAAAAGTAGAGACTATCAGTCCAGTTTAAAGGGTTTATTTCTAGTTTAAAATTCTATTAAATTAAATTCAGTTCATTAATATGGCGGCAATTCACAACACGTCATCTCAAGGCACTTTACAGTTCACCCGATCATAAAGTCAAATTGATTGAAAGTTTTCTAAAGAAAACCAGTTGATTGCATTGACACGAAGGCAATCCCTCACACTAAGCATGCTTGTTGCAACAGTGGAGAGGAAAAACTCAATTTTAACAGGGAGAAACCTCCAGCAGAACCAGGCTCAGTGTGAGCGGCCATCTGCCGAAGCCAACTGGGGTTCCAGGAGACAGAAGGAAAGATACAAATGGCAATTGTAAAAGGCGGCTCTGTCCAGCAAACACACAGCCAGGCAGACAAGCTCTGAGCCAGCTCCCATGTCAGAGGATGAAGAGAGCACATCAGACCAGTAACAGTCAGAGAAACAGGACTACACTGAAAAACAAGCCAATCTCAAACATCTTCAAACAAAAGTGTTGATTGCAGCAGCACAGCTGATATTTCCCTCCAGGATAATGTTACAGCCAAACAGGAACAGACGAGGCAAAGCTACTATGACAAAAAGCAGAGAGAGCATAACATTAGAGATGGAACTGACAGATTCTACAGAGTGGGAGAAACAGTGGCCATGTCTGCCGGACTAAGCAGAAAGATGGAGGAATATTACAAAACAAAAGATATACAGTAGCAGCCATTCAAAATGGCCCTTCCCATTCAAAGATCCAGCCGAATGACAGCCCACTTCCCTGCAACTCCCAGCAAAATCCCCAACTTCCAGCCACTGGCCTTCTTATGGACAGGGATATTTCTTTACTCTGACTCATCCCTTTCACTGAATTACAGGGTCTGAAAGGAGATAACACTTCTCTTTAGATCTTAAAGGGGTCATAAAATGCAGTTTACATTTTCATAGATGAATAACAATAGTTCAGTGGGTGAAATGGACGTACAGAGAAGTTCAAACCCCATCGACACCTCCTTTCTCTGCAAATCTCACAATTCTAATTTCCGCCATAAAACGGGCGAATTCAAACTGTACTTGTCTGACGTCCCGATATTGACATACATATCAGTTCAGTGGCCCAAGAGTATGAATAGAGGTAGATGCAACACACCAGTTTAGCCGTTTAGCCTAAAGTTGGGTTTACTTCTTCAAGAATTACAAAGCAGGCAGTTTCTTTATTGAAAATGAGCCAGAACCAGGGGTTGAAATGCAGTGTTCTAGGCTGCACAGAGAAAGGGGAAACTTTTCACAGTCTTACCAAAGATCCGAAGACTCAACATGCATGGATTATTTTTTGTCTATCAGAAGATCCCCGCAAAGTTTGATGCACAGCTGTTCATTGCTCTAAGCATTTGACTGAAGATGGCTTTCAAAATCTCGGATAGTTCAAAGCAGGATTTGCTTGACTTCTTTTAATGAAACGAGGGGCTGTTCCGACCGTAAGGCCATCACAACGGCAAGCTGTAAGTATGGTTCTTTTGCTAAGCAATGCTGCCAAGTTGCTGACTGGACCGGACCGTGAAATCAAACCGAGCCCTCAGCTACGTGATGGGTCGGGTCCGTCGCTCGGTCCCCCACTGGCTCCGTACACCGGACCAGCGCCGGAGCTCACGGCTCGGTTCTGCTGCACTGTAGTCGACTAAAATCCCTGACGATTTTGAAATGAGGTAATTAGGTATGCAAAAGTGGATGTCTGGTCACCCTACCATATCAACAATTTGATGTTTCAGTGAGTGAGTGCTTGTTGCTAAGATCCGTCTTTGTTGAGCAGCTTCGCTCGTTGTAAACCAACCAATCAGTGCTCAGCTCATCTATATATTCATGAGCATACCATAAAAGGAAGAAAACCTGTTGTTTCATTCAAGGGCTTTTAACCAGGCTTGCATTAGGGCTCATAGAACAGCAAATATGCCATTTTTAGCCCAACCAACATTACACACCCTATTCAGAGACCTTAAGGACCAGAACCAGATACCCTATATAATCATTCTATGACCCCTTTAATGTTCACAAATCAGACAGACAGAATATTTTAGTACAAAAATTCCCATAGAAAGGACAGATGGACCCAGTATTAAAGGTGAGACAGCCAGTAGGACAGTTCAAAATGTTTATTAAAGCAAACACATTAACAAAACTAAAGCAGGCTGCCGAGGATCTGCGGACCTGTAGCGACTGCAGGTCGGGGGCAGGGCACCGCCCAATCCCTGACTTTCTGGTTTAGGGACAAACACAGGTAAGTGACCACGATCATCTGAACAGAAGATAATTATTAGAGTGAGTCACTTGCCTGGTTTAACAGTTCAGTCCATCCTCTCAATAATAAGCAGGATAAGTCAATGCACTGCCAACGAGAGGAGGCCCTGAGCCCTCCAGAGCACCCCCAATGCAGCAACCCCAGAGATCAGGCTGAACTCCGATCCAGGACAGGGATTCAGATGAGAACGGAGTAGTTCTGGAATCCAGGAGTCCACAGCCTGGTCAGGGGTTCCGATCCACTCAGGAATGGACAGATCGAGGTTTTAAGAATCCATCAGAGCGTGAAGGCAGGTTCAGAGCCCATGCGTTAAGCATCCAGCTCAGACAGAAACGCACTTGGGAGGTAAAATCCAGCAGGAGTCTAACAGAGGTTCACGCGAGCAGACCAGACAGGGCCAGTGGGTGAGAGGGAACAGAATCAGGAAAACAGAAGCACTCAGGAAATGCTGAAACACTCTCCTCACTGTATAGGAATTAAACTAGCCTGAAGACATGGGCTCAAAAATAAACTCCTCACTTGATCATGAACCTTGGAAATAAACCTAAAACTAACAACTGACCGACAGGACACTAACAGGAATCAAATAGGGAACAAACAGAAAGCAAACAACGATCAGGCCCCAAATGCTCAGCTGAACTGAATATAAGGCCAAGGAAACAGGTGAATAAAATAAATGATAATTACAGCAGGGAGGGAGTGGCAGGTGAATCAAATAAACAATTAAGGTGGAGGAATCAGACCAGATCATGACAATGAAATGTGATTTTTAAAAAGGAACTGTAGGGGATCAGCCAAGGACCAGCAAAAGGCGCATCAAAGAAAGTGGGGAAATTTTGAATGGCTACTACTGTAGCACCTGTCCAATTTTGTAAGGGGGTCTCAAGCAAAAAATAATTTGGACCCCACTTTCCGTAAAGAACATCCCCACTATTGATAGTGTTTCCATACAACTTTTTAAGTTGAATAAGACGAATAATTAATTTAAAAGTATACATGAATAAGTGATTTTTATTGATTGCAGTGATTACATTTGTATTTCAAACAATCCAAGTTAAACAAAGAAAATATTAGGCCTACGGCATCCGATTAAATACATTTTTATACTTTAAATCATTTCAAATTGCTTTAATTTGTCTATACTAAAATCACACGTTTAAATTTTATATTTTTCTTATTCTTAATAAACAAATTAAACATTCTTAGATCTATGGGATCTTTGGTCTTCATAAGAATTCATGTGAGGCCTCTAATAGATCCTATGGGCTGATTAATGGTTTTATTCATTTATACACTGTGCCTACACTAAATGAGAAGTTTTATTGGAGAAAAAAAATGAAGCTTACAATAAAACACCATACCTTCAGTAAAACATGATAGTTGCTCAGTGATTATTTGGGGTGGCCTTGCTTGCTATGAAATAGAAGATCTGCAGCATATGCTTGACAAGATGGATCTATGAAAGGATTCAGAATGTTTATGAAAACGCCATTAAAATGGGTGTTTTTTCTTTAATTTGTGATGTCACACAATGAATTATTAACATTCTTTGTGATTTGCTTATTGCAAACATAAAATTTGTGCATTTCTTGTCGATAAACCTAATTTGCTGCAAGGGATGAATCATGTTTGGTCCAACTGTAACTACTTACTTGCATATCATAAACTGGTAATCAAATGTTACCAAAATAAATGTATGGTCTGTCTGCATTTTAGGCAGGAGCATACATTCTGCAGATCTTTGATCACTATGTCTGCAGCGGGCCCACTCTCCTTCTAATGGCAATCTTCCAGTCAGTGATAATTGGATGGATATATGGTAAGACAGTTTTTGGTTTAATTTGTTATAGTAAAATAGTAACCTTAAAAAAAGAAACGATAAGAATGATGTTAAAATGCTGCTTACCTTTAAGTGATGGTGAATGATTCCTTCTGTCTTTGTTAAGCTCGGTTTTCACACTGCCCACAAGACTTGTCAAATCAGAACCTCTCTGGCCTGTTGAAATATTAAGCCTGTTCACTTGCTGTTAAAAATATGAATTGACAGATTTTAGTGTTATCAGTGGATGTGATTCCCATCTTTTATTTGGTGATCTGCAAAGGTAATTTTTGAATTTGTCTAAAATTTATCTTTACCTATTCAAACTTCAGACCTTTTAAAAAAATCTGGATTTAATTTGACAGACCGACACTAGGTATCGCATATTTCTTGGGACGAAGGAAAAAAAGCACATGCTGTACATATCTTTTTTTTTTTTTTTTTTACTTAAGAAAGATTTTTCCAGCAACTTTGATCAGCTTCCTCTGCAGGTAAAAGTTGAATCTCTGCAGAGTTGCTTCTGTGCTAAAGAAAACCTGCACCCAGGACCGGAGTGGAACTAATTTTCAACCCCTGGAGTTTCAGACCTCAGCACATAAAAATAAAAATCATATAAAACACATAAAAATCCCTTTGGACTACAGTGAAACCTATGGTTACAACTCAAAAAGATGTAAAAAAAAAAAAAATGCAAGGGTTGCAATCACAGGCTATGGCTAGATTTTAATTAATGTATGTTCAATTGAATTGTGAAACTAGGTCTGAGCTGACTTTCATATCTTTCGAAATTAGTTCTATTTTGATGGCATCATTGAAATAACATCTATTGAATTATTGTAAATATTACTGAAAGTCAACAAAAATAAAATGCACTAATGAAATAAATGCTGTATGTGGAAAAGTAAATGAGGTATATCATTAACCTGTATATCTGTCTTAGGTGCTGGACGCTTCAGTGACAACATTGAGGACATGATTGGTTACAAACCTCTGCCACTGTTTAGGTACTGCTGGCTCTACATCACCCCACTTATCTGCAGTGTAAGTTCCCAAAATACTTCAGTTGTATGAATAATCTTTTCAGTTTGATTCAAAATATTTATTTTTGCTTACTCTATCTTTTAAGGCCACTCTTGTATTTTTACTCGTGAGATACACTCCAATGAGGTTCAACAACACATATGTGTATCCTTGGTGGACTTACTGGATTGGCTGGTTTCTGGCTATGTCATCATTGTCTATGATTCCGCTTAACATGATCTTCAAATTGGCCCAAAAAAAAGGCTCTCTCTGGCAGGTCAGTAAAAAAGAGAGCATGCATGAAATTAAGGACGCTATTGAAGTCAGTCATTTTTATTCTGCCAGCGGAAGCCAAGCTATGTTTCTTACATTATTTATTCTTTTCTTAGCGACTCAAGATGGCCTCCCTGCCTGCAGATGACCTTCCAGGCATGAATAATAAAATGGCACGTACCAAAACACCAAAGCATGTTCAGAACAAAGAACAAAATGAGCCTATGCTTTGAAATTGTATCTTTTCCTTAAAAACAACATATAATCTCATGAGATAAAATTAGCTACACTTTTCTAATTGAATGGTGTGGGTCTCTTATATATATATTTTCTCTTTATATTCATATGTATAAGTAGAGGTTTTTTAGCAAGCTACTAAGATTGAAATCCAGTCCCACATTGCCTGGAATATGATTGTGAGGAATTGTAAAATAGACACGTTTTATAGCCAGAATGCTAGACCAGAGATTTTTGCTTGATCTCTTGGTCATATACATATTCCAAACGAAATAGAATTATAGTATATGAACATGTATACTGGAAGAGGAGAAGAAAAAGCTTAGATTTGTTTTATTTCTTAAAGTTGAGTACAGATAGATGATAGATAGATAGATAGATAGATAGATAGATAGATAGATAGATAGATAGATAGATAGATAGATAGATAGATAGATAGATACACAGCTGTTCAGCTAGTCAAAAATTGCCTTTCTTTTTAAACTTGCTTTACTTTAGTGCTTCTAAAGTAGAGCAAGTTACCTACATTTACAGTAGAGAATCACTGAAATGAAGGACTAAAGTGTGACTCCAAGGGATGTGTTCAATCTCTTAAACAACAGAGAATGTTGGAAAGGCTGGGTGACTTGGAGGGCAAAAGCTTGCGGAATAACATACACTTCTTTGGCCTGAAACACGATCTAGAGGGGGGGCCTCCATGGGGCAATGTGGAACACCTTCTCTAGGTTTTACTCCCAACAGACTCTGCTTTGATTATCAAGCGAGCACAAAGAGCTTTGCCGATCAAGTTGGAAGCTGATAAACCCCTGCTATCTGTAACTGTATTCAATATATGAATAACAATGAAAAGGCAGTTTTTCTTCAATCAAAATTACCCCACAAACCTGGTCCAAAAAAGGAAAAAAATACATGCCCATTAAAAAGTCCTGAAAGAGCTAGGAATCTTTTTCTAGACCCCTTTAACTAAAATCCACATTCAATGGTAAAGTGGCACCAGGATCTACGCTGGGAACTGCCCAGGAGCCGAGATGGAGAGGAATGTAAGTGGAGGTGCAGTGAGAAGCAGAGCAGCTGTGAGGAGTCTAAGCCTTGCAGCGAAGGAAAATGAGATCATGATAAATCAAGGGAATAGTATTTATAGAAATGACTACCACAGAAGAAAGACGATAAAGAAATACTTAAAAAAAATAAGTGTTGTTCTTATCTTCTATATATAGTTTCTGATTAGAACAGGTGTAGATCTGCCCACAATCAATTGGTCAGACTGGGGACCCTGACCCCACCCAGTAAAAGGAAGTGGGAAGCAAAAACTTTCATCTACAGCATTTTAAGGTTGATATAAAGTGGTTCTATGTTATTAGAATTCACATTATTGTTAAATTTCATATGGGCAGGATGTCAAAGGAAACGATATAAGTCAGAGTTAACTGATGAATAGTATACCTTTGGTGTTCATGAATGTGAATGAGATAAATAATCTACCCAAAAGTAAAGCTGCAGCCGAGTATAATTTAAAATATCATACAGAGTATGCCAGACTTATGCAATAAAAGAAACCTTTAGAAAGTAACATGAAAACCTATAAACAAGCACCTTCTTTAAATGACACAAAATATAATTTATAAAATGTTGGTTTAAATCTATAGATTTTGTTTCAATAAAGACTTAATTAAATACATAAAGTCCATCAAAATCCTTCTGTGAGAATAATAAAGAATGTAACCGAATTAAAATATTTCAGTCCATCTTTTCTGTGGTTTCATTCAGAGACAAAAGTAAGAGGAAAAAAGAGCAGGCAAACATTAGGTAGAAAAAAAAACATCCTGGCAATCAGAGAAGGAATATATTTTGACAAACATCTGTGAGTTTGAAAATATATGTTTGGGTTCACTCAGTGTTCTGAACTCTGTTCAAAACAGAACAACTGATCAATTTAGCTCGTCAGCTGAAGTGCAAAATCTGCACCATTTGGGTAAATGTTTTATCTTAAAAAAAGTTTCTGTTAATTTTTTTTTTTACTTATTGTGCTCAAACTTTACTTATTTGTTTGTGTGCTCTGCTGAGTAGTGTGCACCAACATTACTGGTATTTCTGGAAAAACCTCATTCCATGTTTTGTCCATCATCAACCCCAAAGGATGATTCGGTGTTCCAACCGAAATAATTTCCTTGGAAACATCCAGCTGAAAGAAAAATATCACTTGATTAAAGCATAGGATGTGTACTCATCTGGCTGTGAATGTGCATTCATGTACAACAAACACAAGCATAAACATGTGTCAGATTATCCTTGTGGAGAATTTCCTTTCAGTTCCATTCCTATTGCATTAATTTATATAGCCTAATTCTGTAACTTACCCTAATCCTTAACTAAACCCAACTCAAACCTTAGTTGTTTTAAACCTAACCGCCACCCCAACAAGAGAACTTCTCTTCATGTGGACCAGATGTTGGTCCTTACAAGTACCTATAATACCTTAAAAATGCATCATATTTCTGGGAAATGGTCCCAACAAGGTGACAAAAAAACTATCTTGTCTATCTATCTTTGCGGAGGCCTTTCTAGCGACTTCCATTCAATTCTAAACAAAATCAACAGCCTAGCCGCAACCCTTACACTAAACCTAACCTTACAGGTTCATACCTAACGCTTAGCCCAACCAAAATTCAATTCACACTTTAGTCCTGTGGAATCAAGGCTTTTCCTTTGCTTATTTTGTGTGATAAAATGTTTAATCAGAAGTAATGATAGAAAGATCTTGTACCATTCACTATGCTATGTTGTTTGGGGGGACAGAAAACAGGTGCCTTCCCTCCCTACTCTAGACAAGGGTGAAGGAAAGGTCATGAGAAATAATGAGTTTACAAAGCCTCCTTCATGCTATGGTTAAAATATATGCTCTCCCGTCCTGTCTCTGGTGAGAACAGAAAGCAGTTGTCTGGAAATGTTTATCCAAAAGTATATTTATGTCTTTTGATGAAGTGTTACCCTTGGGAAGATTCAATGTTCATGTGTGTGTATGCTGTGGGTTTTTCTTAAAATGAGGGGTGTGATTATGAATGCTTCAGAATCACATTGGGAGCTTTGTTCAGCTTGTTCTGTGATTCTCCTGTGCAAAGAAAATAAAACCTTTTCTTCTTACTCTCAGTGCTCAATTTTTTCTCCACAGTCCTAAACTGGACCCCTGATCCTAAAACATTAAACCACCTTGTGGGATCAGGCAGTTTTTGTTTTTATTCCCTGTTTGCCTTGCTCTCAGAGGATGCCTCATCAACCATTAGACTGTCAGACACAACCATAGCCCGTTCAGCTATGATTACTTAGTCGTCATCTGTTTGTTATGCCTTTTACTATCACATCTTTTACAGTAAACCTTTCAAGTAAGACATCAATGTTCTGGATAAATTACTAGGTTTAGGCTAAATAAAGGGCTGCTTAAAGTCCATGATTAGCAAACTTAATGTTAAACAATACATGTTAAATATAACTAGAAAAAGCTGTTTCGCAGAAACAGCAAAGTGGGAATGCTTTTTTTGCTGAACAAAATAATAAAAATTAGCAAAAGAAACTGCAAGAAGGAAAAGAAGCACAAATTAGCTGAGGAACATATGAACATGTGATAGGAAGTCTTCAGAAACTTCAAACTGCAGAAAACATTTGAATCATCTGAAGATTTTGTAGGGTAGAATCATTTGGCAGCAAAATGGCAGAAACAGAACCATCTTAAAAGCTGCACAGCCAAACCATACATGATATTAAAATTTGTTTTTAAATGTGGGCACTAGAAGGGTCTAAATGTAATGTCT